TTTGGCTCCATGTTTCAGTCTGATTGGATCATTCAGATCATGTTCTGTTCCAGCTGCTGGAGGACAACATGCTGACTTTTGTGAAGGAGGAGCTGAAGAAGATACAGAAGGCTCTGAGTCCAGATGACCCACAATGCTTAGAGAGTCAGAGGGAGGATGAGGATGCAGAGCAGAGGAGCAGCAGAGAGGCATTAGTGAAGATCACAGTGCACTTCCTGAGGAGAATGAAGCAGGAGGAGCTGGCTGAGCGTCTGAGGAGCAGTAAGAGGATTTCTCTGAAGGTTTAACCTGCTGGGGAAACGACACATTTATTCAGATGTTAGACACTCATTCTTTACATGGTCACATGTTTATTTGATAAAGTTATTTGTTTTTTTCATTTCAGAACATTCTGCTGCAGTTGGGCGTAAACATAAATCTGCTCTGAAGAAGAGGTTCCAGTGTGTGTTTGAGGGCATTTCTAAAGCAGGAAGCCCAACCCTTCTGAATCAGATCTACACAGAGCTCTACATCACAGAGGGGGGGGCTGCAGAGGTCAATGAGGAACATGAGGTCAGACAGATTGAAGCAGCATCCAGGAAAGCAACCAGATCAGAAACAACCATCAGACAAGAAGACGTCTTTAAAGTCCCACCTGGAAGAGACCAGCCAATCAGAACAGTGCTGACAAAAGGAGTGGCTGGCATTGGGAAAACAGTCCTAACACAGAAGTTCACTCTGGACTGGGCTGAAGGCAAAGCCAACCAGAACATCCACTTCCTGTTTCCCTTCACCTTCAGAGAGCTGAATGTGCTGAGACAGAAAAAGTTCAGCTTGGTGGGACTCCTCCACCACTTCTTTCCTGAAACCAGAGCAGCAGGAGTCTGCAGCTCTGCAGAGTTCCAGGTTGTGTTCATCTTTGACGGTCTGGATGAGAGTCGACTTGCTCTGGACTTCCACAACCAGGAGCCCCTGACTGACATCACAGAGTCCAGCTCAGTGGACGTGCTGCTGACCAGCCTCATCAGGGGGAAGCTGCTTCCCTCTGCTCGCCTCTGGATCACCACACGGCCCGCAGCGGCCAATCAGATCCCTGCTGACTGTGTTGGCATGGTGACGGAGGTCAGGGGCTTCACAGATGAGCAGAAAGAGCAATATTTCAAGAAGAGATTCAGAGATGAGGAGCAGGCCAGCAGCATCATCTCCCACATCAGGAGCTGCCGGAGCCTCCACATCATGTGCCACATCCCGGTCTTCTGCTGGATCTCTGCTACAGTTCTGGAGGAAATGCTGAGAACCAGAGAGGGGGGGCAGCTGCCCAGGAGCCTGACTGAGATGTACATCCACTTCCTGGTGGTTCAGGCCAAAGTAAAGAGGGTCAAATATGACAGAGGATCTGAGACAGATCCACACTGGAGTCCAGAGAGCAGGAAGATGGTGGAGTCTCTAGGAAAACTGGCTTTTGATCAGCTGCAGAAAGGAAACCTGATCTTCTATGAATCAGACCTGACAGAGTGTGGCATCGATATCTCAGCAGCCTCAAAGTACTCAGGAGTGTTCACACAGGTCTTTAAAGAGGAGAGCGGGCTGTACCAGGACAGGGTGTTCTGCTTCGTCCACCTGAGTGTTCAGGAGTTTCTGGCTGCTCTGCACGTCCACCTGACCTTCAGCAGGTCTGGACTCAACCTGCTGGAAGAACAAAAAAGAACCTTCAAGAGACTTGTTAAGAAACCAAATCTAAAACACCTCCATCAGAGTGCTGTGAACATGGCCTTACAGAGTCCAAATGGACACCTGGACCTGTTCCTCCGCTTCCTCCTGGGTCTTTCTCTGCAGACCAATCAGAGGCTCCTACGAGGTCTGCTGACACAGAGAGGAAGCAGCTCACAGATCAATCAGGAAACAGTTCAGTACATCAAGGAGAAGCTGAGTGAGGATGTGTCTGCAGAGAGAAGCATCAACCTGATCCACTGTCTGAATGAACTGAATGATGGTTCTCTGGTGGAGGAGATCCAACAGGCCCTGAGTTCAGGAAGTCTCTCCACACAGAGACTGTCTCCTGCTCAGTGGTCAGCTCTGGTCTTCGTCTTACTGTCATCAGAGGAAGATCTGGATGAGTTTGATCTGAAGAAATATTCTGCTTCAGAGGAGGCTCTTCTGAGGCTGCTGCCAGTGGTCAAAGCCTCAAAGAAAGCTCTGTGAGTACAGACACAGATTGATCTCTTTTGAAGTGGTCACTTATGAGCTAGAGACAAACAGCAGAGTCACAGTCAAACTCGGTTTCAAGGAAACTGCACTTTAATTATAAGTTCAAAAGAATCTTACAGATGTAATTTGCCATATTAATAAGCTACCATAACATCTTAAGTCTGATTATTAATATATTTTAGACACAGGCAGAATCATTTTAAGGGTTTCTTGAACAGACAAAAGTTTTAACAGCATGGACAGAAAGTCTCCACATGTTTTATTATGACTTTCAGTCACAACAGCATCATTATGTCTGAACTTAGCTTTAGTTGTGTGGTTGGTCTTTCCATTTTTTAAAATAGAGGCTTCTGCTATAATTCGTTAGGGGATTTTTCTTTACCTTATTTTTATGAGCACAGAAGTGATATGAAAATCTACAAAAGCTGTTTGACTGATTGATGATCTAATCCATTTATTTTCTCTCTTCTCAGACTCAGTGGCTGTAAACTCTCAGAGAGAAGCTGTGAAGCTCTGTCCTCAGTTCTCAGCTCTCAGTCCTCCAGTCTGACACATCTGGACCTGAGTAACAACTGGCTGGGGGATTCAGGAGTGAAACATGTTTCTGCTGGACTGGAAAGTCCAAACTGCAGACTGGAAACACTCAGGTCAGAACTGGATGAACACTGACTTTTCCTTCCAGAAAGTGAAGTTTAGGATTCTGAAGTAGTAAATATGTGAAAATGAGCAGCTTTATTTGTGTTCTGTGTTTTATGAAAAGATGCAGCCAGATCAGTCGCAGGTTAATGTGAATCTAGCTGAAATTTTAGATTTTAGAGTTTCTTTTCTTTGTGGAGACTAAAGATTGAACCATTTTCCTGTGACATCACATGTTCATAAAGTAGGTTGCAGAAACACTAAATATGTTGGTAGTTTGTTATGCAAACAGGCACCCCCGTATTTTTTTTATCAATAATTGAATTATCCTAAAATTTATTGTCACATGACTTTTCCCACATAAAGAAAACACAGAGTTAAGTCAGTAGATGGCGCTGTTTATGGCTGTGGATTCACCAGGGAGATAGCTACCTAGTTCAGCACATGGCCTCAGCAGTAAAGCAGGTTTTCCTCTCCTTGATGATGTTGATCCACAGAGTTAGGCTCTGTATAACCTGGTTACACAGTGCTCTCTAGCCTGTGCAGCCCTTGCTGCTGGCCCAGATTCCCCTAGGTCTGGCACCACTAACACTCAGTGTGCTGCTTGTTCTCATTGCTCCTTTAGCATGAACACTTTCACAATGTTTGAACCTCTGCTGCAGTTTGAAATGTTAAAGTTGATCCTCCAGACTGGTTCAGACTAAAAACTTCTGACAGTGTCTAATAGACTGATGTCATTGGTCAGATTGCTGACTGAGTGCTTTGGAGCCATCATCAGATCAACATGTGATAACATCCAGCTTCAGTCTCAGAGCAGCTCTCAGAGTTTCTGTGTTGTTCTGTGTGTCTGCAGCCTGTCCAGCTGTGGGATCTTAGAGGAAGGCTGTTCTTCTCTGGCCTCAGCTGTGACCTCCAACCCCTCCCATCTGAAAGAGCTGGACCTGAGCTCCAACCGTCTAGGAGATTCAGGTGTGAAGCTGCTGATGGCTGCCCTGAAGGATCCACACAAACTCAGGTATGAAGAGTCCTGCTGCAGCCACAAGCTCTGATAGAGGAGGAGGAGGAGCTGGAGACAGGTTCTGTTTCATTTAGCTCTCTGTGTGCTTCAGACTGGAAGAGGAAACTCACCACATGCTGATTCAAAGCTGTAGACTATTTGTTCTATCTCAAAGCCTTTAACGAAAATCAGTGATCTCAACATTAACACTAGAACTACCAGGATTTATCTGCCTACCTAAAACTACCAGAGAGTGGTCAATTGACCCGGCGGCTTTTCCCGAATACACTAATCACTCATTTTGTCATGGTAATGAGGCTGTTATGGGCCGTGTGTGGGGTGAGGGGGTCACACCTTACAGTGGTAACAGCCAACACAAACAGGGACAGACAGCTTCTTCCCAGTGTGTTACAGTTTTTCTCCCTTGGTTTGGCTCATTTCTTGAAATTGAGATATCATTCTCAAAACATGGACAAATCCCAAAACTAATTTGCAGTTCCTCACAACAGAATGGCATTTATCATAACTTTCATGAAACTTCAAATGCGTTTGTACATGTCTCAATCATTTAGTACATCCTTGCAAATGGCTATGTACAAGTAAAAGTAATAAAGATAATTGTGCAAAGAACATTCTATGAGTTGAAAAAAAATGTGCAAAAAAACATACTAGGTCAGTTGAGGCAGACAAGATTAACATGACCAGGAAAGAGTGTTGACAGATACATTTATGATATAATATAGAGATATAGAAGTAAAAGAAATGAGACATATTTCAAGTCAGTATTTCCGTAGTGTAATCAATAGTTCCATAGTGCTGTGATTGGAAGCTCAAGCCATTGTCTGAATTTTTCCAGAGTTTGTCCCTCTTTTCAGTTTCTGACACTGTTGAATTGTTCATAAAATGTAATGTTGGCTGGCAACTGATGTGACAGAGACTGCAAAAGATGGCACAGTATGGCATGAAGAACAGGTGGGAACGGGTCCACATTTCACCCCACCATCGCCATACAGCGCAGATGGAGAGCCAACAGCTAAGGCCAGGAGGTCAA